AAAGATGAAGGCAGGAAAAGGGGACGACAGAGGATGAGATGGTAGGATGGCATCACTGACTCAACGAATATGAATTTGAGCACTCTGGGAGATGGTGAAGGACAGAGAAGCCTGGGATGCTGCAGCCCACGGGGTCGCAAACAGTCGGACACAACTTAGTGACTGAACAACAAAAACAGGCTAAAATGATCCATGAAAACTGAAGTAAGCGACACATTCTCATCCCTACTCTTTTTTTTTCCATCCCTACTCTTGAGGGTCCAACCTCTCCAAGGGTGGTCAGGGATCAGCACCCTGGGAGATGGTTAGAAATGTGGACTCTTTGGCCCCACTGGGACCTGGTACATCAGAATCTGCAATGCAATAGGATTTCTACAGAGATCTGCTGCAGGTCCAGCTGAGAGAAACATTGCTCTAAAGCCCAACTGTCTGGAAATTTCTTCAGTGATGGAAATGTTTTTTACCTTCATTAATATAGTAGCTATTAGCCACATGTGGCTACTGAGCACTTGAGATATAGCTAGTGTGACGGAGGAACTGAATGTTTAATTCTATTTACTTTTAATGCATTTTATTATTTTTAATTATTATTATTTTTTTGCTGCTCTGTGTGGCATGTGGGATCTTAGTTCCTCAACCAGGGACTGAATCTGTGCCCCTGAAATAGAAGTGCAGAGTCTTAACAACTGGGATGCTGAGGAATTACTCAATTTTAACGCATTTTAATTTAATTTACGGCAAGGGGCTATCACATCGGACAGTGTAGCAAGTACCTGCATTTCCTTGCAAGCGAATGGTCAAGAAGTGACCACAACAGCCAAATCTGCCAATCTGGCAGCACAATCCATCTATCCTTCCAACATGCAAAATGACTTGAAGGCCAGTCCTATTTAGCTGCTTCTCCTAGAACATCAGGCCTAAAGCCTAGGTCTCCAGGGTGACACTGCTGACCACTCTGCGTCCCTTTTTATTTTTTTAAAGGTAAGAAGTGGATTTATTTAGATTCAGAGAGAAGTACACTCTACAGACAGAGTGTGGGCCACCACAGAGGGTGAGTGATGAAATTTGGCGTGGTTAGTTTTTATAGACTATTTTTGCTCAGGTTCTTGATGTCTCATCGCAGAAAGAATTCAGTGAGAGACAAAGTGATAGGTAAGAAGTAGGTTTATTTAGATTCAGAGAGACCACACTCCACAGACAGAATGTGGGCCATCGCAGAGGGTGAGTGTGGCCCCTTTTTAAATTAAATTTCCAAAACTCACCCCTCAGTTTTCCCAGGTCCAGAGTTTTCACCCTGACTTCTTAGGAATCTCACTGCTGGACAAAAAGTAAGTCCACCAGCCTTTGATGAATGGCAGCTTTCAGACCCCAGGGCACCTGAAGCCTGAGGATTCTCAAAGGTGTGGTATACAAGCACACTGTTTGGGGCCATGGAAGTGGGGTGGGGGGCCCAGAGATTGCACTGGATTTTCAAAGGGGCCCATGATTCAAACACTGGTTAAGAACTCTGGGAGGAAGGAAGAACTTTAGAGCCTGACAGTCCTGACAGAGGAGCCTTCAACCCGAGTCTGGCAATCTCATAAACCCTTCATAAAGGGTTTCAAAGGTATTCATAGAGGTATTTAAAAGAAGTAAATGAAAAAAATCTATGTAAACTTCAAAATGTAAAATGTACTATTATACAAAATAAGGCTATACGTGATAGAGTGAATATACTCAGAAAATCTTTGGCAAATGAGAGAAAAATTTCTGCCTTCTTGGTTCCATATAAGAAATGAATGAGAACATGGTCAGTGAAAGGTCCAAATCAGAAACTGTAAAACTGTTCCTTCTCCAGGAAAAAGCTCAAGGTGTCACCCAAGAAAGTCAGAAGATCATTCAAGGAAACTGGTTATCCCTCACACAGGAAGTCTCCAGCTGATGAGGGCTGAATTTCAACTAAGACGGTGCATTCCAAGGTCCCCAGTGTTCATCTACTATCTGGGTAGCCGGAAGGAAGAACAATACACAGTTCACTATTCCAAGACTCCATCAAGCTGAAGCTGTAATGACAGAGTGAGTTACACACAAGCACCGGAGCTGCCTTCCTAATGACGGAGAAAGGTGTAAGAAAAATCCAGGCTTAAGGAGGACAGTGTGCTTTCCTTCTTCAAACACATTTAATGGTGATGAAGTGGGCTTCTCTGGTTGGCTCAGTGGTAAAGAACCTGACTGCCAGTGCAGGACAACTGAGTTTGATCTGGGGGTCAGGAAGATCCCCTGGAGAAGGAAATGTCAATGCATTCTAATGATTTTGCCTGGAAAATCCCACAGACAGAGAAGCCTGGCAGGATACAGTCCATGGGGGTGCAAAGAGTCAGGTATGACTTAGCAACTGAACACGCACGCATGGACAAAGCAGGTTGAGAGGGCCTCAAATCTGAGATGAAAAATTCTTTCTTGCCAGCCAGTTGAGCTAAATGGATTCCAGGCGCCATGAAGGGGTTGGCAGGGCACAGAAACAGCGCAGGGTCAAAAAGACTCAGAAAGGTCTCACCCAGTTGGCCAATCAGGGAAGACACAGTTTACTCCCCTGCGCAGGTTGATAATCTACCTGGCTGCTGGGTTTACTATAAGGAATGAAAAGTTAAAGTGTTAGTCGCTCAGTCAGGTCCGACTCTTGGCAGCCCCATGGACTTCAACCCGCCAGGCTCTTCTGTCAACAGAATTCTCTAGACAAGAATACTGGAGCCAGTAGCCATTCCTTTCGAGGAACAGACCCACCCAAGCTGTGTTTTCTCCAGAGCGGAGTAAGTGGCCCTCCCACTAGAGGACTAAAGACTGGTGTCTGGACTTGGGGGACTTTTAGGGCCCTGCATTCATCTAGAGGCTACACAAGAAGTAGAGCAGATGTGAAGCTCCCCAAAGTCTCAAAGTAGAAACCTCAGAAAGGAAAGAGGAATCAGCTACTTAACAGCTCCGGGGTGGTAGAGCAAGTCCCATACCCTCCCTTTTCAGCTTCTTAGCCTTCAAAGAAAAAGGACTTTCTTTGAGAACAGCAAGCAGTGACTGACTGCATTCCATTCTAAAGCCTACCTAAGGGAGTTGAGAATCTCCAGATTGACAAGGGAAAAGCAGCAGCCTCGGGCTGTGCTGGGCTGCCACATGTCTGAGCGGAGTTCAAGCTGCTTAAGCAGCTCCAGGCCTAGAACAGAAGGAACACGGCTAACTTGGGCAACACTGAAAACACTGCTTCTGTGGTTCCTGGGTGTGAAGAGCCCATTTTTCCTTCTCCCAGCTCCAACAAATCCAGAATCTAAGTGCCACAAAACTTGACTGAATACTAGGTGCCAGGTATTGTGCACAGCCCTCGGAATACAAAGGGAAGCACAACAATGCCCTTGCTCTCAGACTGGCTTAGCAGACAGGGCATCACGGAAGGGCACCCTCTCCCGGCCCAGCTCTCTGTGCCAGGCATCACCTCTATTCAGCACACTGCTGTTATGATGACTGTTTATAAGTTGGTCTCCCCCATACCTTACTTCTGAATGAGCTTATTATAAGAGAACCTCTTAGCCATCCTGGTTTCTGTACGCCTAGCACACTGCTCCAGTGCGGGTGGGGGTGGAAGTATGTATATGTGATGCTCTTAACTTTCCAGATAGAGGCCTTGAAACTGTGGAAAGAACTGACATGTTATAAGAAGCGGAGGAAAGAAAGTGTGAAGAAGGCCTGCCACAGCCACCTTTTAATTGCCTTCTCTCTTTCGGGGGCTGCTGTTCACCTGGCTTTGTAACCTGTCCTCCCTGGAAGGTTCTAGGCACTGTACAATTCACACCTCCAGACCCTGGTCCCATCCACAGGGACCATCCTTTACCCCAAACAGGCCCCACTCAACAAGGCCTCATCTTCCAAAAGGCTATCATTCAGTGCTTTGCTCCTTTCTAATAATTCAAGCAGACCCCAAACACAATGGGCTGCCTTGAGAAGCACATTCTACCAGTCCTGGCTGGCTGACAAGTGCTAAGTGGAGGCGAGACATAAAAGCCACTGTGATTTTCCCACTACACCTGAAATAAAACCCAGACTCCTTCCCGAGGCTTGTCATCCCCATGTGATCCTGGTTCCAGACTCTCTCCACTCCACTGGGGACTCTCAGTCCCCAGCTCTGCTTTCTTCCTGCCGTTTCCCACCCTGGGGCTTCTGAAGGTGCTGTGCCCTCTCCACCTGGCTTCCCACAGCTTTCCATCCCTTTACTTACAGTTTTTCTCACAACTTATTTTTGTTGTTACTTTTTCTCACACCATTAGCCTGAGAACAGTGACTATGTCAGCACACAGCTCTGTGCCCCATACATAGTATCTAGCAAATATTTCCCAGATTAATTAAAAAAAGGGGGGGGGGGAATCCTCTGTCTCCACTCAGCTTCCACACTAACCTTTTTACTGGATCATTTCCAAATCAAATGACACCATCTCTTCATTACCCAGTCTTATTTCCCACAACTCATTCTCCATTACCGGCCCCCTCCCCAATTTCCCATCTTCATAAACACCACTAATTCATTCAGCTGTTCATTATTCACGAATCCTGTGTGTACCCACCTCTCAGCCCTTACACCCCTCATCTCCAAAACTCTTCCCCCTTATATTCCATAACCCTTGAAACCACTTTTCACCATAAACCTCTCCATCCACAAACTCTCCTTAAACCCATCCCTCTCACCTCAGGACGAGCTCCTAAAATCCATCCCTCAACTGCCTAGTTCCATAAGCCCCCTTTCAATCCGTTCCATTTTAACCCGTCACGTCCCTTCCTCCTCAGAATCCCTCTTCAGTCCTCCTTAAGCCTCCCCCTCCCATGCGCCCTGCCCTCCCTCTCTTCGCCCGGAGACTCATCACATCTCTCACCTTGCACCTTCCTCACCCCTCACGACCCCAGCTGCCCCGGTCCTGGCCCCTCAGCCCGCCCCCTTCAGTGAAGCGACTTTGGAAGGCCCCCCACCGAATCCGCGCCAGCACCTGGCCTGCGCTTCGTCCAGGCTCTGGTCGGTGATGGCCATGATCTGCTGCAGGACGTCGCCTGTGCTGGAGCCGGGTGGGGGCCCGGGCGGCGAGCGGCGCGGGGCGGGCGGTGGCGGCGCGGGACGCGGCGGGCGCTGAGGAGAGTCCATGAGCTGCGGGTGCTCAACCAGGAGCCGGCGAGCCTGGAGAGCTCGCGCGGACGTCGTAGTCAACTGCTGCCGTCGGTGCGCACCGCGCGCGCACCCCGGAGCCCCGCCCCTCGCCGCCGCCTACGGCCAACCGCCGCCAGCTAGGCGGTGACGCCCCGCCCAGGGACACTCCCTACTACCTCCGCCAGCCAACCACCGCCGCCCAAGCAGCCAGGCCCCGCCCACAGACATGCCCCCCACCAGCCCCTCTCAACGGCCTAGGACTCTTTTGGAGGTTGCTGAGGCAACGGCGCCTTCAATTTTAACCCCCTCCCTCTTCCCTGCTGGCCCAGACTGTGAAGAATCCGCCTGCAATGCGGAAGACCTGGGTTCGATCCCTGGGTTGGGAAAATCCCCTGGAGTAGGGTAAGGCGACCCACTCCAGTGTTCTTGCCTGGAGAATCCCATGGACAGAGAAGCCTGGCGGGGTACAGTCCATGGGATCGGACTGAGCGACTAAGCACACATTCTTCCAGCCGGAGACGGCGACGCCGGTTTTGCTCTGCTTCGGAGACTCCCACCTCTCACATCTCTGCCTTCCGCATTTCCTCAGAGCGACGGCTCCTGCTCAGAGACACTTTACTTCTCCTCAGAGCCAGAGCCCACCCCCCTCCCCATTTCATAGGCTCCCATGTCTCAGAGCATCCCTCAGGAAACTACACACCTCAGATCCTAACTTCTCAGACACTGCACTCTTCCTTAAAGCCACCCTTTCTTTTCAGACCTTCCCTTGCCTTTCAGAACCCCATCAACAACCCCCCCCGCCCCCCCACAATCTCCAGAAACCCTGAGCCCCAGACCCCTGCGCAGTGAGCTCAGCCTAGCGTCCCATCAGGTAGGTCACTGGGGCTTCCAGCCTCCCACAATCTCCAGAAACCCTGAGCCCCAGACCCCTGCGCAGTGAGCTCAGCCTAGCGTCCCATCAGGTAGGTCACTGGGGCTTCCAGCCTCCTGGCTCCTCCTGCTGCACCTCTAGTGTTCCATGGGTGGCACAGGAATATGTGGTGATGGTGGCTGGGAAGTTAAAACTGAGTGATTTTCTCAGTTGCAGAATCCAGTTCACCTTTCAAGATTCAGCTTAAGAGTGACCTTGCTTGTTTATTCATTCTTTCACTCTACAGCATTCTGCCAGCACGGGAAGGATGCTTTCTGAGGACCTACCCTGTGATGCATCCCCGAATCAGAGTGAATCTTCACAGGCCTTTGTTTCCAGCTGTTAGGACTCCCACCATCAGAGGAGTCTTGTGTGAGAGAAAAGGATTTATTATTGGACATAAATCACTTCTCCAAAGTCATGGAACCTCCCAGAGCCTGTTTGCTTTGGGGACAGATTTCTGACACAGGCTCAGAAAGGAACCTCAACTTCCTGGGAACATTTCAGAATCTTCTTCCCACTACTGTTGGAGAGGAAATGCAAACACCATCTAATGTGAAAACCTCAACATGGCCCCAGTTAACAGGAAGTACTAGAACATGTAGGGACCATGTAAATATCAGACTAGCATGGTCAGTGACCACACGAAAGACCTGAAAAGTGGTCAGTAACTTTGATGTCCTTCAGAGAATAGTGGTGGGGGGAGGGGGTTGAAAGCTATGAGTACCGTCTGATACAAAAAAAAACCTGAAGTCACCTGGTAGAAAGGAGAGAACCTACGGGGGAGGGGAAAACTGATGGCAAAAGATCCCAAAGGAGACCAGAATTGTGTGGGTTAGAACCTGGAAGGTGCTGATGCAACAGCAGCCAGCTCAGAGCACATGAAACAGAGCTGCCTTTGGAGACTACTGTGGGGCGGGGGGGGGGGGGGTTCCCACCCCATAGGAATTGATTGACTGCCTCTGCATCTGAAACAAATACTCCTGTCCAACAGGCATGGAGCTCCATGGAGACAAGGACTGTGTACTCATCTGTGTGGTAGAAGATGCTGGCCAAGGTCATCACTTCTGGCAATTCAGGGCTCAAGGAACCACGCTTCCCACCTTGGACCATGGGATACCTAGCATCCCAGTTTATTCATGCCTCCTCACAGAGCTGTTGTAGGGCTGGGAGAGTTTCCCAAAGGGAAACCCAGCCCCATTCAATGTAGAAAGACCTACATGTTTTTGGCTCTTTGGCAATGTATGTGTTAGTAGTTTAAGAATTTGGTCTCTGATGGGAGGCCTGGGTTCAAATTCTGGCTAGGTGTGGAATCAGAGAATCCAGATCCTGGTTCACTCTGTGCTTAGCAGATTGCCTCTATGAGCATCTGAGAAGGGGTTCATCATGGGTCTGGCACATCTGAGACCATAGGGTGAAGTGGGGAAAGCTGGGCTGAGCTTGTGATCAATTCCGGACTTTATGGAAAACTGAAGTCCTTTCTTCAGGGGCCTCTCTAGCCCCCTTTGTGTCCTTCTGAAGCTATGTAACCATGCACCAAATCTCAGTCTTTTAGGGCCACTGTCCTCACATGAAAAATATAATACCTTTGCCACAAGAAGCAGGTGGCGATTAATGTATGTAAAGTACCCTGATGCTGGGAAATAGAGGGCAGGAGGAGAAGGGAGGACAGAGGATGAGATGGTTGGATGGCATCACCAATTCAATGGACATGAGTTTGAGCAAGCTCTGGGAGTTGGTGATGGACAGGGAAGCCTTAACGTGTTGCAGTCCATGGGGTCACAAAGAACAAAGTACATATCTGTGTGCCAGGCATAGCAGAGGAGCTTGAGAAATGGCAACTTGAAAATCCTGCATGCTGATCCGTGGACCCCACAACCTCAAGCCCATCTATTATAGGTAGGTGATAGAGTGGGCAATGGGATAGACACACCTGACTATTAACAACCTGGACTCAGACAAAAGGGCAAGCAGGAGGCTTACACAGGCCAGGAACCACTCTGGGCTCCAGAGGCTGGAGACAGAGAGGCAGGTGGCAAGATGAAGGCAGGGGAACAGGTGGAGGAGACAGAGCACAAAAGGAAATGAGAGATGGAACAAAAGCCATACAGAGACCAAGGGGGGTGAGAACAGGGCCGAGGAGATGCCACGGTGAAGGATCCCAGCTCAGTCTGAGCCAAGGTGGACAATTCTGGGACACAGGGACAGACAGACCAAGCTGATAACAGAAGAGGCTTTGGAGATCTCAGAGTAGAAAAGTTTACTCCTTAAATCACGCCCTCCTTGTAGACCGCCTCAGTTCTCATGGGGACAGGCAAGACCCCTGAAGGCTGCAAGGGGTCATAGACCTTTCCCAGCTCACACTCAGCACTCCTGTCTGTGCCCCTAAACAGTCAGCCTCAGGCAGATGAGGCACCCATAGTCCGTCCGTGTTACCCTACTTCCCTGGGCTGCATGGCCCGAGAGTCCTCATCTCTCTCATCTTTATCATCCACGCCACCACAGACAAGAAAGCAGTCCACAGGGGTTACCAGGCATGTGCAGAAAAAAAAAATGTTAAAAAGCCCCCCAACCTTCAGAGCCCGATTCTTGCACCCCATTCAACTCTCTCCCAGTTGCATAGATGACCCTAACCCACAGGCTCAGAGACGGACACAGCTGCGTGCCTGGGTAGGGCTGGCAGTGGTCCATGCCATGTCAGACTGACGGTCTGCCTTTAAGTCTGGCCCGCAGACTGGGTAGAGCCAGGCGCATCCACAGTGGCCCGGGGTAGCGATGTGGCATTTGCTGTACCCTGCTGAAGTTCAAGCTTAGTTAAAGGGTGGAGTCCATCAGGGAATGGCCGTTCTCAGGAAGCATGATGCGAGTGCTGGTGCCCATGTGGGTGGCGGTTGTGTAGCGAACAGACTCGTGGGTAGACGGGCGGAGGCACCAACAGCATAGAAGACGGCGGAAGGTGCGGCGCATCTCAGCATCACGGCACGAGTACACCACGGCATTGACCAGCGAGTTGGCCTCGGCTAAGAGTAGGAAGTACTTCTCCACTGCCAGGACGTTGCAGGACTTGCAGCCCAGACCATCCAGGAGCAGCACCACCTGGCCCGGCGTCCAGCAGACCACAAATGCCCCTGTGGGACAGAGCCTGATGTGAGCAGGGCCAGCTGTTGCAACCGCTCAAAGCTGGAGGGAATCTCTAGATCTTGGGTGACAGCTGAGCAGTTTGCAAGGAAGGGCTGCCTGTCTTGCTGCCTTCGCAGCATGATGGGCAGAACGGCTAAGAAGGGGAACCTTTCTCTGATTTGTCTGCCTTTCCTAACTGGTACACGGTGGACAGGTGGGAGTAGGAAATGGCAACCAGCTCCAATATTCTTGCCTGGAAACTCCCATGGACAGTGGAGCCTGGCAGGCTACAGTCCATGGAGTCGAAAAGAGTCGGACATGACTGAGCAGGCACGTACACAGTGGACAGGACCCTGGACATTGAAGATTCTTTGGTGGAAAGGAGGTCACTGTAGGACTGGCCAGTTAGTTGGTGGGGGAAAAGGAATGATTGGGAAGAGTTGCCCTGTTTCTTCGGGGTGGTGTGTGTCCTCAACCCAGACCATTCTATATTTTAACAGCCGAACTGACCTCATTACTCCTGGCTAAGAACCCTTAAATTCCCACGGAACTCAGAACAAGCTATGACTCCTGTCTGTACCCTTTAAGGCTGTGCTGACCTCTCCTCACAGAACAGCTACATGGGCCTTCTTCTCTCTTTGGGCTGGTCCTGTTGGAGCTCTTGCTTTTTTTTTTTTTTTTTTGAGCTCTTGCTTTCTGTTCCCTCTGCTTGGAACTCTTCCCTGGCCTCATCTCAGGTATCACCTCCCTGGAGAACATTCCCCATTCAAGTCGTCCCCTCCCATCACGCTCGATCAGACTGGCAGTCGGGAAGCAGGGTACCACTCACCTAGGATGATGACAACAGTCTTGACCAGGTTTAGCGTCGTTTCACGGTAGCGGGGGTAGCAGCTGACATGCTCAGCCATGCGCTGCACTCGCCGCCTGACATAGAAGAAGATGCGGGTGTAGACGGCCACCATGAGCAGGAAGACGAGGAGACTGGACAGCGCCCAGACGGTGAGGTAGGAGCGGCTGAGCAGGGGGGCCATGCGAGAGCAGCGGTCCAGGGCACAGAGGCAGTGCCAGAAGTGGGCAGGCAGCAGCCCCAGCCCCAGCGCGGCCACCCACACGACCACGATCAGCATGATGACCCGGCCTGGGGGCAGGCGGCTGTGCAGCTGCACGGCCATCACACTGCAGTGCCGCTCCACGGCAATGGCCAGAAGTGTGGCCACGGAGGCCGTCAGGCTCGTGTCCAACAGGCCCTGCCGCACGAACCAGCCCCGGAGTGACAGCCGGGCTGTGCGTGGGCCTGTGTGGAACATGAGGAAGAGGTAGGCCACACCGGCGAAGAGGTCAGCTGCGGCCAGGTTGCCAAGCAGGTAGTAAATGGGTTGGTGGAAGCGGCGATTGGAGGCGATGGCTGCGATGATCAGCAGGTTGGTCAGAAGAACCAGCACGCTGACAGTCAGGCCCAGCGCCACCACAACCAGATCTTTGGGCCGCCAGTGGGAGCTGAGCTCCTTGCCACTGTTGTTGTAGAAGAAGCCGATGGTCTCATTGTAGTAGCACTGGCCCATGGTGGCCATCTGGGGGCAGAGAGGGAGAAGTCAGTACAGGCAGTCCTTGGTGGAAGGACACAGAGGGGAGCAGCAGCCAGAGGGAGGGTTAAGCCAGGAAGGGCAAGTGTCTCAAATGCAGACGAAAGTGAAAGTGAAAGTCGCTCAGTCGTGTCCAACTCTTTGAGACTCCATGGACTGTATAGTCCACGGAACTCTCTAGGCCAGACTACTGGAGGTGGGTAGCCTTTCCCTTCCCAACCCAGGGATGGAACCCAGGTCTCCTGCATTGCAGGCCGATTCTTTACCAGACATCTGACCACCAGGGAAGATGCCTCATGGCAAAGGGGCACTGGTGGGGACAGGGCTGACCTGCAAAAGCAAGCTCCATGAGTTGGGGGGTGGGCAGCTGTTGCTTAATTACGAATAAGCCTCTTGTAAAGATATCCCCTGAATCAAATGACTGGGCGGTTTTGTTTTTCACAGAAAAAAGCAAAACAAAACTCATTTGCCCACCGGGGGCCAATCTGTAACCAACCTGTGTTGGGTGGTGGTGGTGGGGAGTCGACTGGGGCAGGACAAAGGGGTGTAAGCTGTGAAAGGACAAGGGAGGGTCAGTTTGGTGTTGGGGTCAGTGCAGGGAGCAGAGACCAGCGGGTGTGTTTGCAGGGTGGGGCCCCTGCTAGGACCTGGCAGGAGGTCGGTGCTGGGGTGTGGTGACCTGGGCGATCAGATTGGACAGTGAGGCAGCTCCATTCGTTGGGCGGCGGGCTTGGCTTTGCGCGCGCGTGCTTCCGAAGCAGGCGGTGCGTCAGGCCGCTCCGGGTGGGAGTGAAGACGCTGGCGGCCTCTGGGACAAAAGGGGCTGTCAGGAAGGCGGCGGCAGGCCCTCAGGCTGGGGGAGGAGAAGGAGGAAGGAGAGGAGGGTGAGGCGCCCGGGCCCCGCGGGCACGTGCCGCGCCCTCCCCGGAGCCCGCGCGCACCCACCCCCCGTCGATGCCGGCCTCACCTGAGTCGCCCGTCACGCCGCAGACTGGGCGGCCCCGCGCCGAGACCCACGACCGGGCCACCACGGCGGGAGCAGAAGAGCGTCTGGCAGCGCCGATCCGGAGCGGCCCGGGGAGGCCGGGAGGCGGGGTCCCGCCGCCACGCCCCCGTCGCGGCGTCCCGCCCCCACCACCTGGGCGAGCCCCGCCCGGTCCCCGCCACCTGGAGGAGCCTCGCTTCCGCAGCCGCGGTGGGGACAGGGGCGTCCGGAACCGCAGCTCCCCGTTTCCTCTCCGCCTCGCGGCCCCTCGGCCGCCCCTCTCTACTTCCGGCGCGGGACCCCCACCTCCTGTCCCCGCACACCTCTCGCGCCTGAAACTGTGGGCCTTCGCGGGGCTGGCCGAGAGTTCCCACCGTGACCTGGCGCCGCCCGGGCCCGGGTCCTTGAGGTCGCACGGTCCGCGCCCCCTCCCCGGCACTCCCCCGCCCGCTCCCTCGCGTCCAATCCGCCGCCGAGTTCCAAGCCACGCCCTGGTCCGACCCCGCTCCTCAGCCCGGACCCCAGCCCCTCCTCGGCTTCGCCGGCCGAAAGCCACCGCACGCCTGGCCCCAGCTGACTGTCCACTCGCGCTCAGGTTTCTCGGAATGCCTCCCTTCTCAGCGCTGTTCCCTGCCCGGCCCACGCCTGTGGCAGCCCTGGACTCCCACGTCCCAGAGCACACAGCCCTATTGTCCCGGTTATCTGCACTTTGTTTTAAGTGTTTGATTTCGCAGGACCGGATCGCGGCGGAGCTCTGGGAGGGCCGGCCCGTGTGCCTCAGCCCGGTGTCCAGGCACAGCCTCTACCCCCTGTACGTGCTCCGGGGTGTACTGAGATGAAAATAAGAGGTCTTTGGCTTCTGTGGTCGGTGAAAATGAAGCGGAAGGCTGCTGCCTCACCGACCTCTCCTCTGTCACCCTTCCCCAGCAAAGAAAGACACTCAAGGATATAAAAGACACAGTTTATTCAGAGGCCACCAGACCCCAGGCACCACCAGGATGCTGAGTCTGGGTTGCCACACCCTCCAAGATCTGGTCATTTGGGATCAGCTAAGGAGGCAGATAGAGATGGGGGAGTGGCCACAACCAAAGTAGCAAAAAGCACCCCTGTCTCAAGGATCCCATGACCTATATTGACCCTGAGTAACCTGTGAACCTGAGTGGCCCTGATGCTTGACATTGACCTGTGTTTTGTAGAGGGTATCCTGGTACCGCCAAAAGGGTTTTAGTTCTCCGCTAGGCCATGTAGTCTTTCCTCATAGGAACTCTCCAGACACCCCAACATTTAACTCCTGGGAAGCTGGGCCCATCTTCTCAGTCCTGGCCTTCTTGATCAGAGCGCTGGAATAGTCAGAAGTGGTCCTCGGCCTCCTCAGTCTGGGGGTCTGGGCAGCAGGTGGCTTGGGGCACAGACTCCCTGTGCAGCTTGGAGAGTAGCCGGGCTGTCTCTTGGGTGATCTCAAAATGCTTGGGCAGCGGGGTGCGGCGCAGAGGGCTGTCTTCACGGGTGCTGGCAGCAGGGCTGGGTCCTCGCCTCCGCAGGCTCCCTTGGGGCACTGATGTGATGGGGGTCTCCTCGGACAGTTTGGAAGCCACCAGGGCCAAGCCAGACAGCTGGTGGGTGACAGGCCGCACACCTCCCCGGGAATACTTAACTGGCTGGCGGCTGAAGTGGCCACGGGGCTGTGTCCCCAGGGGTGAGTCCTCAGGCCCTTGGTTGGACACTGTGGGATAGGGTGGTCAATGCTAAGCACCCCAAAGTCCTCTGGATGCCACCCTCCATTGTCATCACTAAGTCCAGCAACCCCAGGGCAGGAGCAACCCCAGAACCCTGGGCTAACCTCCAACACACTCACCTTCCCCTCCCTCATTTTTGATGTCTTCGGTTATTTCCTCTTCCTGCTCACTCTGCAGAGTTGAAATCTGTAAGAAGAAACCCAGGAGTGAGACCTCCAGCAATAAAATCCCAGTTCTTGGAGACTCTTGAACCAGCAATAAAATCCTAGTTCTTGGAGACTCTTGAACATGCCAAAACTCCTCTTTGCAGTTTTGTTATTTGGGGAGAGATGATGACTTTAAGAGTGTACTGCTTGCCCTCCTGAGAAGAGGTGCCATTAATCTCAACTGTGGGCTCTGTAAGGTGGGAATGCCTTTGTTCAGCAGAGGTTGTTAGTAGTTAGTCACTCAGTCATGTCTGACTCTTCATGACCCCATGGACTATAGCCCACTGGGCTCCTCTGGCCACAGGATTCTCCAGGCAAAAATACCGGAGTGGGTTGCCATTCCCTTCTCCGGGGGATCTTCTCGACCCAGGGATCAAACCCAGGTCTCCCGCATTGCAGGCAGCAGAAGACCAGCCTGGAAAGTGACAGCCATCTCTCCATTAGGAAGGGGTGAACTACTGACCTCCAACCTGCTATACTTTCTGCAATTTCAGGCCTGCTTTTTTAGCTTATCTGTGTACCTTTTAGTTTGTCCTTTAGCTAAATGCTAATAGCAGCTGGAATGCTCTCTCTGTGTCCTGAGCACTTTCTGAAGTTCTGAGTCCCACACCTCACTAGCAGCCCCTTTCCCAGCTCAGGGGTGCTACAGGGGAGAGCCAAGCTCTCAGGAATGGTGAGTATATCAGGACCTGAGGGACAGGAGGACTCCCTTAACAGTCCCATCTATATATGGTTTTCACTAACAGTATGTACCTCTTAGGGCAATTGCTATGTAAGCTACCTGCACTGTAGGTATGCAGTCAGTGGAGGCTTGCACACCCCTCTCTGGCCTCACTTCCTACCACCTTCCCCTCACTCATTCATTACAGCACAGGGCTGTGCCCTGAACACATTAGGCATGGTCCCACCTCAGGGCTTTTGTACTGGCTGTTCCCTTTGCCTGGAACACCCTTTCCCTGATCCCCACCTGGCCCACTCCCCGCTACATCCTTCTAGTTTTTGATCAAACTCATCTTCTTCAGGGGACCCACCCACAGCATCCTATTACTGTTACAAACTGCCCACCACCTCTCACCTTGGTGCCCTTGACGTCTCTGACTTTACCCAACCCTTTCTTTTCTTTATAGTCATCACCTTGTAACATCCTATATAACTCTGTATGACTTTGTATCATATATCTTGTTTATTGTTGGTTTTTTCCTCACTAGAAAGTAGGTTAAAGCGACTTAGCAGCAGCAGCAGCAGCGGAAGGTAGGCAATCAAGAGGGTGGAGTCTGAATATTTTGCTCACTGATATTTATGTAATGCCTAGAACAATGCTTGGCACACAGTAGGTGTTCAATAAATATTCTGTTGAAGGAATCAATAGTATTCATGTTAGGATCTCTGGAAGGCTGTACCCTGTTGTTATTTCATTATTTCCCACCTCTCCATTCCTTACTTCTCCTTTCAGGATGAGTGCAGGGTCAATAATAAAGGAGGAAGGGAATGAAATAGACAATTTTAAAGGGGAAGGAAGGAAGGAAGGCAGGAGAGGGAGTGAGAGGATTACATGGAGAGAAGGCTCTCCCCATGCCTGTGGCCCAGCAGGTTCCTACCTCTGGGAGCGTGGCCTCGGGACGCTTCTCCAGGGCACTAAGGAGCATGGCTTCTGGGTCCTGGTCTGAGGGGAGGGATAAGGGCAGCGGGTCCAGGACAAGTTGTAAGTGTGGTGGCTGGAGGCTGGCTGGGAGGGTCACAGGGGGTGGGCTGGGGTCTCGGGGCAGGGGCTCAGTGGCCAGGAGGAGCTCGTCAGCCCCAAAGATCTGCTCATAGTGCACAATGAGGAACTCGATGAGCTGAGCCTGGTGTGCGGAATCCAGCAGACAGGTGATAGGTCCGGCACCGGCTGGCCCTGGACCGTCGGGCAGCCGCAACAGCGTCGGCCCAAATACAATGCCCAGGTTGTTGGCAGACATCTTGTTGTCCTCATACTGTGCAGCCACCCTGGGGACAGCAGGAGCAGAAGGATCAGGGCACAGAGTGTCTGATTACTGGTCACTGGGTAGGACCCACAAGCCAGGCTAGTGGTGACTTGCTCAAGTCATGGGTAAGAGGTCCTGGTCACAGTTTGCAACCAGCAGCCACAAGCCTGAAGGTGGGGGTCAAGGGTCAGCATCCAAAGTCAGGAGTCTTGTATTAAGTTTCAGAGCTCAGAAAACACATATGAAGGTCAGGAGTCAGTGTCAGGGGTCAGTGGGCCCATGTCTAAGGAAGGCGCAACAGTCTGAGCCTGAGGTCAGAAGTCACGTGTCAAGATCAAGGACAGTGCACACCTGAACAGATGGGCCACCAGGTGCCGCAGGGTGTTGTAGTTAGAGTCGGGCAGCTGTGCCAAGAGGGTCTTCAGCGAGCAGATAACCTCAGGGCCGGGGCTGGGGGTCCCAGGGTCGTGCACAGGGTCTGCATGCAGGGTCTTAGCCAGAGAGATGAAGGCATCGTAGAGGTGGAAGGGGACCACGGGGTCAGTGAGCTGGGGGTGGAATGGCAGGGGGGATATGGGTGTGGGTGGGCTGCAGAGGGTCCCCAGCCTGAGCCCATCTGGCCCATGAGTCCCAAGCCACTGAGCACCCACCTCCTGGAGGAATCGCTTGAGAACGCTCGAGACATCATGAGGTGAGTTCCCTGACAGGTCAACCAATGCTCGGCCATTCTCAAAAGCCTGGCACAGCCGTTCCACGCGGACCCTGGACCCGCTGACCCGATAAATGCCCTGCAGGGCAGGGGTGGGAAGTGGACACCCGGCTTGCAGTCTGGCCATTGAGAGGGCTGGGTCACTACTGGGGGTGGTCAAAGGTCAAGGCAGCACCTGCACATTCAGCGCACGCTGTTCTATCTCGGCCGTGCACCTGGTGATCACAAAAGGCACCTCCTCTGGGAAGTCCCTGGGCAGCTGCAGGAAGTTGACCCCAAAGAGGGGAGTCCGGGCTGGTAGCCGCTTATGTCCACAGAGGATCAGCAGAGTCTCGAGACAGCGCTTGTGGCAGGTCAGAAAGCACTGAGGAAAGGTCACAGGGTCAGGAAGGTCATCAGGGTCCGTATGGGAAGAGAAGGTCAGAGAGATCCTCAGGGAGCAGGGGGTTCATAGGGGATCATCAGATCAGGGCAGGTCTCTCATGGCAAGGTCTTAGGAATCTCAGGTCAGGGAGACACCTGTGGTCAGAGAGGTCACTGGGGGTCAGCAGAGGTCATTAGGTCGCCAGCCCAGGCCGTACCTCCTCGCACTCTGTCCCGCTGACCATGAAAGCCTCACACTCTCGGCACTTGGCTGGGCCCCGCAGCCGCCGCAACCGGTGGGTCTGGGCCGCGTTGGACAGTATCCACTTCTTGAAGGGGGTCCCTGGCCCGTTCTCCAGCCCATCTCCCAGGTCTGCAGGGAGGGAGACAGGATCAGAAGTGCCTAGTCCATCCCCAGCCCACCTCCACCTGCTTCCAGCCTCACCAGGGTCTCGCTCCTCAAAGTCATCTGAAGACTCGGTGCCTATGGATGACACTTTTACCAGCCGCCTCGTGCCAGAGCCTGGAGTCAGGTTATAGAGGTTGAGGGTCACAGAGGTCATGGGGGAGGCTCCAAGGCTAAGGAGACCTTCCTGGTCTTCAGCCTTCCCAAAGCACCCACGAATGCCCTTGGGGAAAGGGTCAGAGGTCAGGGGGGTCAGACAGGTCAGGGGTTAGGGGCTGAGGAATAGGTCAGTAACCTGGGGGTAGCGGTGGTTCCAAGTTGGATCAAGAGAATGGGTCAGAGGTTGAGAAAATAGGTCAGGGATGCAGGGTAGGTCAGAGGTCAAAGAAAGAGGGTTTGAGTTTGGGGGTCAGAGCCTGGCCAGGGGCCGGAGGATGGTCCCACCTGGACTGGAAGTGGGAGAGTCCTGGGAGCGAGACTCGCTGCCGCCGCCCACGCTGTCCACATCACTGCCCACAGTGGGGCCCAGAGCTGCTAGGGAGGGACAGGTCGGTCAGGCGTGGCCTCCCCAGCACCACTCCTGCCTGCCTTTCACTGTACTCACCCTGCCAGCCTGTGCCTGTGTCCTCCCAAGGGCCTGGCTCAGCTGCACTCTCATCCAGCTGTGGAGGGGGTGCTCCAGAGAGCTTCTTTCTTGTGTCCAGAGGGGAACTGAGAGGAGAGGTTGGAGGGCTCTGATAATGAGGGAGCTGGCCTGGGATTGACATCACCCCTGGCATCCCTTTTAAGACCCAACTTCAAGGACTTGGGTCTGCAAGCCCTTATGGCCATGGGCATCATGGCCCCCAGTGCAGTAACCCCAAATTCCCAGCCCTCCCACGACTAGGACAACCCCACCCAAATGCCTGGTGCCGCGTCTCCCTGGCTTCCCATCCGACCCTGCTCCTGGGGACCCACCTGTGCGTGAACTCCTGGAAAGAATAGGCGGCTGGCGGGGGTGGTGGGGGGTAGGGCCCTAGCGCCCTCACGAACTCTTGGTATCGCTGGCCAGGCTCGAAGGGCTTACAGCACTCAGCCAGGGCGGAGAAGGCGCGGGGGCCACGCTCTGCCTGAGCGCCTCGAAGCCCGAACAATCCCAGGGTCACCTGTGGGGCAGAGCCCGCGTGTGAGAGGGGCGGAGCCCGCGTGTGAGAGGGGCGGAGCCCGCGTGTGAGAGGGGCGGAGCCCGGGAGCCTGGGGCGTGGCCTGCCCCTGACAGACACCAGCTCGGTCCAGGCTTGGGGGCGGGGCAGGGCAGTGGGCGGTGGCTGAGGGACTGAGTCTGCAGCTGGGCTAGGGGTGTGATCAGAACCCGGGTGGGTCAACCTCGGGGCAGGACCCCTTGAGTGGGGCCGAGAAAGGAAGTGCTGGCAGGGTCTGGGGGCGGGAACTGGCTGTCCAGAGAGACGGAGCGAGTCCTGGTGCCCCGGAGGCGGTCTAGGGGCAGGTGGGGCCCAGCGGTGCTAATGAGCGTGGCGGGCAGCGGTCGGGTTAGGGTCTCACCCGCCGCAGCACTTCGTCCCCCTGCAGCACCAGTTTGCGCACGTGGGACACGATCCGCTGCTTGGCGGCCTCCAGTTCCTGTTGCCGCGCGTTGGCCTCTCTGACGCAGGCCTGGTACAGCGCTTCGGCCTCCTGCGCCTGGAGAAACCGAGGCAGGGAGCGTGTATGGGAGAGATGCGTGGGGCTGGGGGTGCCGAAGTGCAGCGGGGCACGGGGCGGAGTCCCCACCTTGGCCTGGGCCTCTTCTCGAGAGCGTCGCCGCCGTTCCTGCTGTTTGTTGGGGCCCGGTGAGGCCTGGAGAGCCAGATCTTCGGGCGAGACCTGGGAGCGCACCCGCAGCTCCTCGCTGCGCTGCATGTACTGGAGTTGGGCCCGCCGCAGCGCCTGCACCGCCTCGTTCTAGGGGCGGAAGAAGGACCGGTCTTCCGGCTTCTTCATCTCCTCCCCCAGCCCGCTTTCCCAGCTTGCAGCCCTAGGCCTCACCATTCGCTTCTGCTCTTTCATCCACTGCTCCTTGAACTCCTTCCGCCACTTCTCAATCTCAGTCCGTTTGGCAGCCAAGGGCTGGGAAGGACGGGGAATGAGGAACGCTGCCCGGGTTGCTTGGTCATCCCATTTACCCCGGCCACGTGGTTTTCACGCGCTGGACACTTTTCTCCATCAGCAGTCTCTCCTGGATCTTCTCCCCCAGATTTGCCCTGCCCCACCCCGGTGGCCTCTCCGCAGAGTCTCGGTGGTCACCTCCATCCTTTGGGTCTGGAGCTGGGGATGCCAAGGCTCTCTTCCTGAGTACACTGGGCATCTCACCCCATGGCCCGCAGACAAACAAAAGCACAGTTTTGCAACTGCACAGGAAGCCTGGTTTGAATCTCTGCTGGGTAACCTTGGGCAAGTTGCGCAGCATCCCTGGTCTCTGCTTCCTCATCAGCAAATGGTGCTGATGGTAATGATGCCTCCCCAGATGCTTGTACAGAAACAATGCATGAAGGGCCCCCTCACCTGGTAGTAGTCTCTTTTCTGCTGGGTCAGTGTCTCCATGGCCAGGCTTCCTAGGCTGAGGTCGTGCTCCAGAAACAGGAGGTAGATATACTGCAGTGACATGTGGCTCTGCGGGCGGGCAGAGGCAGCTGGTGTTAGAGGATGCTGAGGATCTGGGGGCGCCCAGCTGGGATTCTGAAGGGGTTGGGCTCTGGGGCCAGTTCTGCTCAGGGCTACCTGCTGCTGGATTGACAGCTTGCCGGCCTCGGCAATCTTCATGATGTTTCTGGCGAACTCCAGCTCTGGGGGCAGACGGCAGGGGTGTGAGTCAGGCCGGGTGTGAGCACTGCGGGGCCGGGGCGGGGCCCGGGGCCGGGTCCGAGGAGCCCTCACCGTAACTGGCTCTCTTCTCGGTCCAGGCCAGCAGCTCCTTGACGTAGCGGCTCCAGGTCTTGGCGTACTCCAGAGCTGCATCCACGCCCCCCTTGGTTCGGATGAGCTGCAAGTCCAGCTCCTCCCCTGGGGCAGATGGGTGGGCCTCTGAAACTTCCCTGAGCCCTCAGACCAGACCAGTGAACCCTGATCTACATCCTATGGCTTCTCCAAACACTCCCTTAGGTTGCCACCTTACACTGATTCTCCACTGAGACAGGGGCTCCCTGAGGACAGGGGTTCACGTCTGTTGGGGGCACTGCCACGTGCCTGTGCACGGGACAGTCTGTTGGTGATGGAGGACTCGTTTCTGCCCCCATGCTTCTGGCCCCAGAGCCCCTACCTGTAAGGGGTGCAGGATCCTCTGGGGAGGGGCCACTCCAATGGCTGGTCTCACTGGCCTGAGGGGTGGGGGGAGACAGCATTCAGGAACATGCAGTGCAAGCGCCTCCACCTTCCTCAGTCTCTCCTCTGAGGCCCCCTTGTCCCTGTCCCCTGGGTCCCATCTCTCACCAAAGTGGCTGTGGGGTTCTTGTCAGGTTCTGGGTCTCCTGAAATCACAGTGTCTCCAGCCAGCATCTCAAGAGTCCTGGGAGGTCAGGGAATCAGGATGCCACCCTCCACCGAGTCTGTCCCACCTAGGGTGCTGGGGACCCCAGGGCAGTTTGGGGATGGTCCTAGATATCACCTCTGTGACATCTGTCGTATCTGGGGGTCCTGAGGGGTAGGACTTTAGGGAGGGAAGTAAGTGAGCTGCTTTTTTAAAGAAATTTAAGATAGAATTTGAAGGATCCTGGGTAACTTTGGGGTTTAGAGCAGGATTATAAAGCTCTCCAATGTTTTAAGGGATCACAAGGGTCACAAGAAGGATACGTGGGGCCCCTAGGATCACTCTAGGGGTTGCTGGTGGATTTAGGGGGTTGGATTTGGGGATATTCAGGTGTGTTGAGTGCCCTCTCTTAGGCTTCTTGCGTTATTAGGTAAGTGCATCCAGAAGTTGCAGGTTCCTAAAGGGGCTTTGGGCATCGAAGCGGCTAGGGATTTAGGGATCCTGGCAGACTTTGGGGTGACTCAGGCTCAGACTCACGCGTTCCCCAATGAGATTTCGAGGTTGTCCAGGCTCCGGAAGATGTCACTGTACCTCTTCCTGCTCTCAGGAGCCGGGGGTAACCCTTGGAAGAGGGAGTATAACACGTGGAACAGAAGCCTCTCTCCACCCACCGCACCTTGGCAGGTTGTTTGGAGGGTGAGGGTGGTGAGTGGAGGTGAGGTGGGGGGATGGAGGGAAAGAGAGAGGAAAGAGAGAGAGAGTTCTGGTCTCATGGGGGAGTGCAGGGTGTTTGAGCTGGGATGGCGGGAGTGTGGGCTTGGGTGGGACCTGACTCAGGACAGGCAGATGGACTCAGGCACAACCCAGCACAGAGACCGCTGCTTGGAGAAGCAGAGACACCCACACATGCATGGGCCTAGAAGCAAAGTGACAAAACAGATGTCCTAGATACAGCCACTGTCTCCAGGGACAGAGACAGCTTGACAATGGAACCACATGGACCTCAGGCCAGACAGATGGAAATACACGTGGGATAGACCAGCACAGGGCCTGCGGCAGAAACACAGACGGGCAGATTGAAACCCGGAGCGGCGTAAAGACCAAATGACACTCAATATGCAAATCAGAGACACAAAGACTGGCGGAAACAAAGTCGGACCTCGCCACGTTTCTGCTACAGGCACCCCCTTCTAGGGGGCGCAGATCAGCATGTTCCCCTCCCTGGGCAATGGAGTGGCCGGGTGGGGATCCTGCCGCGTTGCCCTCTCCATCAGCAGTCGTGACACCCTGCCCCCATCACAGATATCAGAAGCAGAAGCGGCCACTTCCCCTTCCTGGGCCCCCTCCCCCAGACATCCGGGGTGAACTCCTAAGGGGGAGGGGGTCAGGGGCTGGTGTCCCGGGCCCCCTCTCAGCTTGGGAGTCCCCACAGTGGAGGATTCCCGCGTCCTCCCCATTCAGGAACTCCTCTCCCAGCTCTCCGGACAGGGAGGAACAGGCGGGGACCCTCACTGATTTAGGAAGTAGGATACGGTCGGGAGAGGCCCCTCGAAGATCACGAGTCCCGGACCGCCTACCCGGCTCCGTTGAGTCCATGCTCCGGCCCTAGGGTCGCTCGGCTAGGACGGGGACTGGGAAGGAATCGCGCGCCGGCGCCGCCGGGGCCCAGCCCCGGTTTCCTGCCTCCGCCGCCGCTGCCGGGGTTCCGCGCGGCCCCGCCTCAGAAGGCCCCGCCCCCAGCCACGCCTCTGCTGGTAGGCCACACCCTCCAGGCGAAGACGCAGACCACGCCCCCTGCCGGAGTGGCCGGGGGGTGCACTCAGGACCTCCTGCGTGACCGGCCGAAACGACTCCATCCCGGCCAGGGTTTCCTCTTCCCAGATCTTTGTGGGCCCCCTAGCCCTAGCATACTCCCCTTACAGTGAGCCCACACAGTCTGCCTGGCCAGAGGAGCTTGTCCCAAATGTTTCCCGTTCTACGACCCAGGGACACCCCTGCCCATAAGTCTCTTGGAACTCTGAACCCACCCTAAACTGGCTGGGGCAATGGGAGCCCCCTGGTGGTGGTCTGATGTTCTGCCCCATTCCGGTTGAATTTGAAGTCCCCGAAAGCTGAATAACGAAGAACTTATGCTTTTAAAACCGTGGTGTTGAAGACTCTCGAGAGTCCCTTGGACTGCGAGGAGATCAAACCAGTCGATCCTAAAGGAAATCAGTCCTGAATATTCATTGGAAGGACTGATGCTGAAACCCCAATACTTTGGCCACCTGATGCGAAGAACTGATTCACTGGAAAAGACCCTGTTGCTAGGAAAGATTGAAGGTGAGAGGTGAAGGGGACGACAGAGGATGAGATGGTTGGATGGCATCACTGACTTGAGGGACATGTCTGAGCAAGCTCCGGGAGTTGGTGATGGACAGGGAAGCCTGGTGTGCTGCAGCCCATGGGGTCACAAACCGAGTTGGACACAACTTGAGTGACTCAATTTTGGGGGACAGGTTGGGACCGGTTGAGGGACCGGTTTTCTGGAAGACGATTTTTCCATGAATTGGGGGGGCTGGAGCAGGGGTATGGTTTCAGGATGATTGGAGAGCATTACATTTATTGAGCACTTTATTTCATTATTACATTGTGATACATAATGAGTAATTATACAACTCATCATGATGCAAATCAGTGGGAGCCCCGAGCTTGTTTTCCTGCAACTGCATGGTCCCATCCGGGGGCGATGGGAGATACTGACGCCTGAAGTGTGTTGCTTATGTCCAGTCTACTCTGCAACCTCATTTGGTTGCTGTCACTGCAGAAAACCCTGCTTCACAAAGATGAGATAGAACGGAAATGGAAATGGAAGCAGGTTTTTCAGTGCTTTTGTGGCAATCGCAGGATATTCTGCTTTGACTTTAATCTAGAACACGTGTGCGTGCTAAGTCATTTCAGTTGTGTCGGACCTTATGGACTATAGACCACCAGGCTCCTTTGTCCATGGGATCCTCCGGGCAAGAAGGCTGATGGGTTGCCAAGCCCTCCTCCAGAGGATCTTCCTGACCCAGAGATGGAACTGATGCCTCTTATGTCTGCTGCACTGGAGGCAGGTTCTTTTACTACCAGCGCCACCATGCCTGCAAGTGTTAGTTGCTCAGTTGTGTCTGACTCTTTGCGACCTCATGGACTAGTGCACCAGGCTCCTCAGTCCATGGAATTTCCAGGCAAGAATACTGGAGTGGATTGCCATTCCTTTCTCCAGGGGGTCTTCCTGATCCAGGGATCAGATTCTTTACCATCTGAGCCACCAGGAAAGTCCATCCAGAACATACAGAAATTTGAAATTATCTCAAACATACTTTTAAGGCCACCGTCATTTTTGATCTCAAGCAGTTAATCCTTTTCTAGCATTAGAAAAGTCAAATTCTATTTGACAAAGTCAGTTCACCTGGCTTTTTCACAAATGGGTTGAGGATCCATTCCTTCCCAATTTGGGGGTCTTCTGTGGTTGGGAAGTATTGCTCAAACTCTTGAAAGCTGCAAGGCGATCATTCATCAGCTGGGAGAAAGTAGGCCCTGGCTCAGTCCCTTTCAAAATCTCTGCTAATGTTTGAAACATGTCAGAAATCCCCAGTGTTCACTTGTTGCCCCCATAATTCTGGTGTGGGTTTGAATGCAGCCGCTTTATCTGCTGACCTGAACACAGTTGTTTGCCCCTAAAGTGACAGATTGAGTTCGCTGAGCAGGTTAAAGATGTCACACAAATAAGCAAATTTTGCAACCCATTCTGCCACTGAAACATGCTTCCAGTGGTGACTGTTCTTCTAAAAGAAATCTCTCGAGTGGCTCTCATAACTCAAAAACTCTGGCTATGGATGTCCTTTTATATACTTTATTTATTATTTTTGGCTGTGTTGGGTCTTTGTTGCTTTGTGCGGGCCTTCTCTTGTGGCGGCGAGCAGGGACTGCTCTTGACTGCAATGTGCGGGCTTCTCATTGCGGAGCACAGGCTCTAGGCGCACGGGTTACAGCAGTTGCAGCTGAGGTCTCAGTTTAATTGTGGTACATGTGCTTAGTTGCTCCTTGGCATGTGGAATCTTCTGGACTAGGGATCGAACCCATGTCCCCTGCATTAGGTGGGTTCCTATCCACGGCACAACCAGGGAAGTCTCAGTGATCTGCCATCAGAAAGCATCTCACGTCTGTGTAAGAGAGCTTGTGCTGTCTCTCTCTTCATAGAGCTGCTCGAACAGATGTGAGCTAAGGGCATGGACTTTAATGTGGTTGATAATTTTAATCATATCATACAAAATGTTAAGTTCAGGTGACATTTTTCGGCTAGCATCATTTCTTTATGGATGACACAGTGTGTAGACTCTCACTCAGAAGTGACCTCTTTGACCCAAGCAGTGAAACCAGAAAGCCTTTTGGTCACGGCAGCCCTTCAGTCCATGCATATGCCGACACAGTGACCTGGTACATAATCACTCAGAGACTTGGGGTGCTGGTTGGCAACGAAAGTGCAGGTAACACGTTCTCATGAAAAATAAAAGGCACAAGAACAAACATTGTTGCCTTATTGTCACACTGGTAGATTACTCAACCTGGATCGCGTACCATGTGGATTTGTTAACCCTAACAATTGCGGCTCAACATTCTCTGTTTCATCAGTTAGTTATGAAAGTGGAAAGTGAGAAGTGAAAGAGCCAGTCAGTCGTGTCTGACTCTTTATGAACCCATGGACTGTAGTCTGCCAGGCTCCTCTGTCCATGGAATTCTCCAGGCAAGAATCCTGGAGTGGGTTGCCATTCATTCCCTTTTGCAGGGGATCTCCTTGTCCCAGGGATGGAACCTGGGTCTCCTGCATTGCAGGTGGACTCTTTACTGTCTGAGCCGCCAGGGAAGCTTAATTATGGTATCCTCTAGTTATGGCACTAGCCAAAAAAGGAACACATGCCACCTTTTGAACTGCAGCCTCTCCTAAAAGTTCATGACAAATGTCCTCAGCAGCAGGATCAACTCTTCACCAACAGTAAAGGGCTTAGCTTTAGCAAGAGGGTTAGCCACTAAGAATAAGGTTTGCCGTTCAGACACATTTAATGAAGTGGTGGCCTTCAATAATTGCTTCGGTTCACTTTTTTTTCTTTTGAAAAACTCCAAAGGCTTGTCTTCTAACGCAGGGTGCTTGGTCTCCATGTGGCAAAGCAGTTTTGAAGGCTCCATGGCTTTGTTGGATAGCCAGTTGCCCGTATTATACAACACAGTTTTAGAGTGTGAACCACCTGATATGATAAACACATAACTTAACTATGCTAGGACTCTTGGTTGCTGTTTAGTTGCTAAGGTGTGTCTGACTCTCTGCGACCCCATGGACTGTAGCCCACCAGGCTCCTCTGTCCATGGGATTTCCCAGGTAAGAATACTGGAGTGGGTTGCCATTTCCTTCTCCAGGGTATCTTTCCAAACTAGAACTCTTGGTATTTTCTTTCAAATGCAGTTTTTTTTTGGGGGAGGCGGGGCAGTCTTGGAGTCTTCTGCTGTCTCACCGCTGGGTCTTTCCTCCCTTACAAAGAAGCCCTCTAGCGACATTTGTTTTTACACATTTTGGCTAGGGTCAGCTTGTGGGCTTATCAAAACTGTAACCGAGACAAGTGTGCAGTTTGGGAAAGAGGCATGGATGGAAATAGTGGTAAATGAAATGGGCAGGCCACACATGGACTAAAACAAAGTGTTGGATTCTGACTCTGACAGCCTGGATCTGCAGCTGCTTCCTGTGCTAGCATCGCCGCCTCAGCTTCACCTCAGACCACCAGGTATGAGATTCCTGTAAGGAGCACGCAACCTAGGGATCTAGGTTTGAATCCTTGCATGCGCGGCTCATGATGCTATGAGAATCTAACGCTGCCACTGATCTGACAGGAAGAGGAGCTTAGGTGGTAATGCAAGAGATGGGGAGCGGCTGTAAACACAGATGAAGCTTCGCTTGCCCACCTGCTGCTCACTCCCTGCTGAACAGCTGGTTCCTGAGGCCCGGGGCCTGGGGACCTCTGTCCTAACCTGCTGGGAACCCCCGGGAGGCTGCATCAGGGCTGAGGGCCCATTCTCAGGCAGTCAGAGCACCCCTCGGACTCTCATGCAGAGGGTACAAGGTGCCTTGCTCTGAGCCCATCGAGAACCATGCCCAGCAAACTCCCCTGTCCAGAGTGCTCCCCTCCCCATTTGAGTGCCTCAAATGGCCTCAGGGATCCCCTGCTGGATGGGGCCTGGCACCTCCGTTGTGGTTCACTCGCTAACTGGTGTCCGGCTCTGCGACGCCATAGACTGCGAGTTGGGCGGAGAAACAGCAGGCACCTCCCCTCTGGAAACCCTGGCCAGTGTCCAGGACCCATGTGATGCTCACAGCCGGCCCCAGCCCCTTCCTTGCTCTGGCTTCCAGGGCTCTCGGTGGGCTGTGGGCCACGCTCCCTCTGATGGAGAAGTCTGTTGGGTGGGTTGCTGAGGATGACCATGAGGCAGGGGCAGAACAGGGTAGAGTTCCCCACTGAGGTGGGGAGAGGAAGGAAGCTGTCCGGAAGCCTGGGCTTGGGTTCCATGGCCTGAGGTTGTCACATGCAGCTTGTCAAGAGTTATCAAATGCACCCACACCCCACACTGGAATTTCTGACGGGAAATAAAAGGCTTTTTCTAGTTTTTTTTGGCTGTTGAGAAGGTAAGAAATCTGACTGCGGCTCTCAGCTTTCATGCTACCAAGCCCACAGTTCCTGAGCGGCAGTGCGTGAACGCCTTCTGGAAGAAGGACAGTGCTGGCGTTGAGCGCCGGACTGCAGGTCAGACCCTGGCGAGGCCGTGATCTGGCGCTGGCACCTGTGTGCTGCAGGATCCTGAGGGCTGACCCGAGTCAGCATTGGTAATGACCAACTTCCTTGTATCTGACACCGCGAGGGGAAGGCGTGCTGTTATTCTGCATGTCACTCAAAAGGGAAAGTGCCATGATCCTGGCTTCCCCGAGTGCTTGAGGTGTCAAAACGCGAAGCTGCGAGGCCACGGAAACATGGAAGCGCTTATAAAACTAGAAACTCAGAGAGCTCTCTGGGCTCCGAGCTTGGCCTGTCCAAGTGCCGCGCGTCTTACGCAGCAAGGTTAGAGCCTCTCACTGCCCACGGTGGGAGGCAGGGGCCAGGACCTTCCTTGGGGACCACTCAGACCCCGACAACCCCTCCTGTGGCACACAGATGCAGGTGAGGCTTCTTAAAATCATCGATGCTGCTTTATTTACCAAAGGTGTTGGCCCGGGGCTGGTTCTGCCAGCCAGGCCCTCAGACAGTCACAGGAAGGTAGGGGGTGGGGTGGGGTGTCCCAGCTCAGTCTTGGTGGGCAAGGCCAAGTCAGCCTCACGTGGGGGCAGTGCTCCCTCCTGGGGCCCTCGTGGGGCCCCTGCCCAGAGGCAGCAGGGTGGGCAGCAGGTGCCAGCACCGCTGTCTCAGGAAGGCACTTTCAGCTTTGGGGTCCCCAGGAAGAACTGCAGGACGCGGTCGGCCAGGAGCGCCAAGCAGAAGTCCAAGAGGAGGACCTGGGCGATGACCAGCTTGAACTGTGGGGCAGGGAGTGCTGGTGAGGCAGGTGCCCACAGACAGGCCCAGGCCGAGTCCCGGGGCCGTGTCTACAGAGCGACTCACCTCCACAGGGATGTCCACGAGCCCAAACTGGCTGTTGAACTCAGGTGAGGAGCCGAGGAGCAGGCCCACAATGGCCAGGAGTGACACGGCCAGGCTCCACACCAGGGGCCTGTTCTCAGGCAGGCTCTCCATGAAGGGTGGGCCCTGTGGAGACAGACAGACAGACAGCTGTGTCATGGCGGCCCAGAGGGTGGGCAGGGGCTGCCTGGACAGGGGCCGGGCCTCACCTTGTAGTTAATGGCGAAGGTGGCCATCTGCATGGCCATGGCCATGATGTACACTGTGCTGTTGACTAGGCTTGGCTCAAATTCTTTGTATAAGTCCACAAACTGCTCCTGCCTGCAAGGACACAGGGGGCAGGGCCCCTTCATGACCCCTGCTGCACCCCCTGCCCCTCTGAAGCAGGACTCTGCTGGCCTGGTCACCCCAGGCCAACGTCTGCACGTATCCCTCCTGCCCCCCGCCCTGGGCGGGCACTCACTTCTCAGGGCTCCGGGCCTGGGCCTCGCTGTACAGGTAGACGAGACTCACAAAATGCACGCAGAACTGCAGCGTGACCGTGAGGATGGTGTATAGGTTGAAGATGTTGGGCAGGGGCCGCTCTCGGGACAGTGTCTTCAGGGGCTGCAGAGGCAGGCCGGGGTCAGGGCCCAGGCCAGGCCTGGGGTTACCCACCCACCTTGCTTCCCGGCAGGCCTCATGTAGAGAGCTGTCATTGAATTCTGCGGGTTGCAGGTCGGCACCAGTCCCCTGCTCACTCCTCCAGCTCCTCAGTCCAGATGCCACCCCAGCCTCGCTCAATGCCCATGTGCTGCACGGCTATCACAGGGGTCTCATGACCCACTACGCCCCTGCCCTGCAATAAATGTAAAGCTCCCCGCCCCCACTATTGCTCATGGCGCAGGCACAGCCAATCCAGACCACCGCCCACGCCCTCTGGCCTCAAGGACCTCCCTGCACCAGCCCTTGACCATCTGTAACCTCTGGGGGGTTCCTGGATGCTTCTCTTGTTCTTTACGCTCTGACTTGAGTGTCAGCATCACACAGGCCTCCCCAACTGACCCCAAGGCCATTCCCCACAGCCTGTGTGATCCCACTTGGTGTTCTTCTCAGCACTGCATACTTTCTGAGTGGTCGTGATAATCGTTTCCCATCTGTCTTGTCCTCACCTGTATGGCCCACCTGAGACCCCAGCCCGTGCACAATGCTGGGCCCGAGATGCTTCACTCTGAAGCAGCCAAGTGGGAGCCCACCCTGCCCCGGATCTCCATCTGTAACTTGAGGTGACAGTTCCCACCCCAAGGGCTGCTGCGCAGGTAACTCAGACCTGTGGCTCCACTTTTAACAGCGTGCCCTGGGTGACCCAGCTGTCAACTGATGGCCAACGAGCAATCCGAGAAGCCTCTTAAGTCCTCCAGGGCGGGAATCATGGCTCAGAGAAGCGGAGGGTACCCTTGGGCTGGGGCAGGATCCCCTGCTTTTCTCAGGCTCCTGACCCACCTTGGAGCGGGAGATGAAGAGGAAACAGCCAGCCAGCAGCAGCCCCTGCAGCGTGGCCTGGAAGTCACTGAACTTAACACCCTCCAGGTACAGGACACTCTGGCTGTAGGCCAGGATGAGGGCATTGAGCGCCAAGATCTTGAACATCTGCAGCGTGGTCACCAATGTGCATCGGCCCTGCTTGATCACGTGGCAAACTGCGGGGGAGGCAGCTGTGAGCATGGGGGTCAGGCAGTGTGGGCCAAGGGATGGGGCAGGGGGAGGAGCAGGCAGCAGGACTCACTGCACTGGATGGAAGAGAGCTTGGAGGTGAAGGGCGCGGCAATGCTGGCATCCCCCAGCTTCACGATGGGCGTGCTTTCGTCCTCTAGGTCCCGCAGCACCTGACTCAGGCGGTCCTGCGAAGCAGGCAGATGGGTGAGACCTGACCACAAGGGGGCGCTGGTGCCCCCCTTCCTCCAGAGACTCACCCGCTGGGAGGCCAGCTGTTCCTCCGGGGGTGGGAGCCCTGACCTCTGCTTGGCAGCCCTGGAGGCGGCCCTGACTCCACTGTTGCTCAGGATGGGGCTATCCCGGGGCCGTCGCCGCCGTTCGACGACCCGCTCAGGGGCGTTGGCCAGGAGGGCCACACCTGGTGGGAGAGTGTATCAGGAGCCAGAGCATGGAGCATCTGCTCGATGCAGCTCAGCCGGTACCAAATCCCCCACTTCACCTGCCCACCCACCCCAAGGAGTGAGCACCTCAGAGCATCCGCCCTACTTCTACAAACTACTTACAGAAAGACAAGAGAAAAGCAATACCCAAATAAAGTATGTCACACTACAGAGGTCCAAAGTGATTCCCAGAAAAGTTTATTGCCGAATCATGCGGTCATGAGAATTGTAGTTGATAAACCAAGTAAATATCTGAAAAGCACTGAAAGAAGCTGGGGCTTCTCAGGTGGTGCTAGTGGTAAAGAACCTGCCTGCCAAAGCAGGAGACCTGGGTTCAACCCCTGGGTCAGGAAGATCCTCTGGAGGAGGGCATGGCAACCCAGTCCAGTATTCTTGCCTGGAGAATCCCATGGACAGAGGAGCCTGGTGGGCTACATGGGGTCGCACAGAGTCAGACATGACTGAAGCGACTT